TGGCGAGTGAGTCGTTGGACCGCAGAATTCTGGCCAGACCGGAGCCGCGAGCCAGCCCAGTGACAGAGGCAGTGCCCAGACGAACAGCATGACGAGCTGCCGATGCAGCGGTCGGCAACCCGACCCCCTCCGAGTGGGCTCGATTCGACGTCGCCGCGTCGCTGCGAGCGCTGCGCGGGAACTCGCGTGAAGCGCGCGCGAGGACTCCGTGATCTGCGCCGCTGGTGGTGGCGCGCCACCGAGGAGGAGATGGCGCGAGCATTGCGCGCAGCCAGCATTCCCCGAGACATCCTCGACCTCATTCCCCCAGTGGTCAGCAAATTCAGGGAATGCCGGAAGTGGCAGCCATCAGCGCGCCAGACTAATCCTGCATTCCGCTTTTGGGTGCGATTCTACCAGCGCGTCGAGTGCGATTTCTTTTGTTGCAAGGACCGCGCGATCGTGCATGTGATCTGCTTCGCCTCCCGGTGGCGCAACGGCCACGGGGTCGATTCGAAGCGCGACTCGACGCTGCTCGCTGCCATCGACTGTTCGTGGATCCAGCTGTCCGGCGCGATGGAGACGTTCATCGTAGACGAGGAAGGCTGTGCGACCTCAGCGCACTTCGCGGAGGAGATGAAGAGGCGAGGAATTCATTTGGATATCTGTCAGAGCTCCGCGACAGCACGCTCGTCTCACCGAACGACGCGAGGCTATGCTGCGACGTGCACTTAGCGCCGCAGAGGGGCAGCTTGAACGCGGAGGTATCGCGGCCAACTTCGATTCTATTCGTGCTCGCGCGGTGCTCGCGGGCAACAGCCTCGCCCAAGTTGGCGGGGGCACACCGTGGCACCCCATGCTGCCGCCGCTCGCAGGAGACGAAGGGGGTCAGGTATGCGGTATATGGCGTCTCTGACGCCAGTGCTTGCCCTTCTGTTGGCGGGGGAGTGCAGCCTGGCCGACTGCCGCGGCGAATCCGATAGATCGCGCCTCAACGCGCGATCAAGGCCAGGTCGATCTCGCGCGCCCACCGCGCCCTCCAGACATGCGCCGCGGAATCCGGACAGGGCCGCGTCAACGTTGGCGACCGGGTGGGGGAACGCAGGCCCCCGAGCGCGAAGGGCGCGTCGGGGTGGGCGGGCCGCGGGACGGTCGCGTTTGTTGACCGGGCTCGAGGCGAGGTGGCGGTCAAGTACCGCCGAGCCGACATAGTCCGCAGGCTGCAGGACGTCTGGCTTCTCATCTGTGCCGTCTTCAACGACGCGGGCACCGGCTTGGCGCGAGGTAGCCTGGCCTGTGACCGACTTCCTGGAGCGCGTCGTGCCAGGCTCATGCACCAGGATCTTCGGCCACCGGGAGGACGCGACGGGCGTTCAGTTTACCGCGCAGACGCGACAGCGCTCCGACATTCTCGAAGCACTGCGCCACGTATCCCGTAGATGTTTTCCGCTGCCCGACGTTCGTGCTATGCGTCTGATGCGCGACCAGAAATCCGTGGGCCATTGGCGGGGTTGCGACGTCAGCCTAGTCATCTGGTGGGCCTCCTCAGAACCCAGGCGACATTCAACATAGCTACCTTAACGGCGTCAGGTTTGACGCCCGTGTTCTCGTCGGTGGAAGGGGGCTCGCACCATCAAGGTGGTTTTTGGCGACGAGGCGCATCGGCGGCAGACGCAGGACAGATGGAGATGTCGATGATTCTATCGGCGTCGTTCCAGAGGGCGCTGCCAGTGCTGGCGAGGGGGGCCCCCATCAGCGCTGTCGGCTACGCCCGAGGAGACAGGCAGCGATTGCCCCGGCCACATCCAGCAGGTGATTTCGGCAGCTTGGCGCGAAGTCGAAGGGGCAGAGGGCCCGGCTCAGGAGCTGCAGGGGGAGCTGGGGAGCGACGACAGCCAGCGTAATATCTACGCTGCTGTCGAGCGCGCCGCGGCTGGGCTTGGCCGCCGGCCGCGCGAGTGGCCCCGGCGCATCGAGGCGCGGCGCCGGCGCCGGGCCATCTGCACGCAGCTTCACTATTACCGGCTCGGCGCCGCCCCGTGGGACCACGTCGCGTTGGGGGGAGGGCGAAGGGGGGGGGGGCATGTGGAGTTGTACCTCGACCCAGGGGCGCGCGAAGCACTCCTGAGCTTTAACGAGGAAGCGTCTGGCAACTATATTGCTGGCTATGCCTGGGCAGTTGTGCTTCGCGTGTGCGCCGCCGTCAGGGCCGCTGTCGTCGAGGGCGACGCTGGCTTCCTGGCGGACGAGGAAGCGTGTCGAGGCTGTCAAATGAAGTGGCTGCAGCCATCCTCGTGGAGCTCACCATCTGGGCCAAGTGTAAGTTTTTCGAGAGGCCACCGCTCGCGGGCGCCCGAAACGTCGTGGACTCCATGCGCGCCTTCAAGGTGGCGCGCCGGATGGGGTCCGACGGCAAGGCCGCGAGGATCATCTGGCGCCGCATGGCGCTCAGAGGCTTCCGCAACACGGGCGCCAGATACTTGGGAACGTTCGCGGGGGCAGCGAAGCGCGCGTCGTGGCACGTGCTGTCCTGGCATGCGGCGCGTCGGCCTGGCTGGGTCTGCGTCGCCGTGGACGTCGAGATGGCCTTCCTGCAAGGCGTGACCTATGCCGCGGTGCAGGGGCAAGGTGAAGCTCCACGTGAGGTGCGCTTCATTCTGCCGCCTGGCAACGGTCATCCTCAGGCAGGTGCCAGGCTGCGAGTCCCTCGACGAGCGTGCCGCGTGCCTGCGCTGCATCGAGCTGGGCGTGGGCCGCAGTGACGTGCGCCGCGCCATCTCCGCGAAGCTAGCCCAGGTCACTCGCTTAGCAGAGAGGAGCTCGAGGTCCTGCGCGAGGCGTCCGGTGCCTATGGCGCTGGCGACTCGAAGCGCGCGCTCGCGCTGTCCGAGCGCGTTGGCGATCTGAAGGCCGCCAGGCGCAAGGGGCGCATTGATTTGCTGACCGGCCATGTTGAGAGCGTCTTCGGCAATATGGCGGGCTATGACGACGACTTCAGCAGCTGCGGGGTGCGCCGCCACCGCTGTGCCGACGGTGCCGCGGCGCTCGGCCGGGGCGAGCGCGTCGACGCCCTGATGCCGATCAGGCGCGTCGACCTCGTCAAGGCGAAGGCCGACGGGCCAGCTGGAGGTCAAGTTCCGGACCTCTTTCTCTCCGCCATGGGAGCAGCAGCGCGCGCCCTGCTCTCCCAGCGCCGCGTCGCCGCGTGCGTTGTCGCAATGCAGAGGGCCAAGATGAAGCTGCTCCTCCGCCGTGCGATGCCGCTCGACTCCGTCTTCTTGGTCATGAAGAAGATCAAGGCGCGCGCTGCATTTTCCCCAATGGTGCGCTGGCCAACTCTGCGCGCGCAGCGACGGTCGTTCGAGCGTGGGTGGAGACAGGATGCGGCATGAGAGTAGCCGAACACATGCGCTCGAGCAAGTGCCGCCGCGCCGGCAAGGGCGCGCGCCACTTGCTTGGCGTCGTGGGCCGATCGCGCATGCTCTCGCGCAGATCATCACTCGGCTCGGCGCTGCTCGCAGCCCGCGGAGCAGCGGGCGGATTGCAGGCGCGCCCCCCCGCGCGAGAAGAGATGATCCGCGGGCCCGCCCCCTCTGGGGTGATCGGGGGGCCGCGGGGAGAGGCTGCGCAGCGCTTGCAGCGCTGGTCGTGGACGGCGCGCGTCTTCGCGACGTTGGCCGTGGATCGTGTCCAGCCACCGTCCGAGAACAGCGTGGTCGGCCACTTGTGGCGGTTGTCAGATCAGCTTCGCAATGAGCAGATTGAGGATTTGCTCTGGGGTGACTCACGCGACGCGAGGGCCGACTTCATGACCGAGGGGGGCGTCGGCCAGGAGCTGATGCTGGACATCATGAACCGCCGGCCCAGCTGCGACCGCGACGCCGTCGAGCTGGGCGAGGAGCGGCGCGGGAGGACTTCGCCCAGCTCCCAGCATAGCCGTCTCACCAAAGACTAGGGCGACCATAACGATGAAGTCACCGGCTCGTTCAACATCGCGAGCAAAGACGGTTGGTTTCGCATTGGCCATGTCATCGCAGCTCACGGCCCCAGCGATGGCAATATATACGCAGACGCTCGCATGTCGCGAACTATGTTCGCGAACGCGACGTAACGAAGCATGCGATTAAGTGGGCTGCTTCCATAAACTATGTTCGTGAAGCAGCAGGCGTGAGGAAAGTCGAGCATGCAAGTGAGTGATGCGTGCTCCATCGGATTTTCATGCAATTTCATATGAGGCTTCGTTGTCTGGCGCATGGTTTGCATGCGCTGACCGACGAGGCACAGCAGCCTCGTTTGAACACCATAGTCGAACGGTACCTTTGCACTATCTTGCTGCCTGTCCGCCGCCATTTTGAAATCTTTGCCGTGGCCGATTGACGCGCGTTCTCTTGCCTCAGCCTCGCACTTTTTCACATCTACTTCATGCAGCCTTAATCTCCTCGTCTACCTCTCCTCATTGGTTCATGTCCTCCTCCCATTGTGTTCGACATGGTGGGGGCCCGTGCCAACCCATCCTTGGTTTGATCCTGGACCAGAAATTGCCTCTGCCCGCGGACAGTGGGGAAGGGGTCGAATGGAGAAGGCGCTACGTCAGCAAACACGCCGACCGAATGGAATGGTTAGTCATGCGCAGCGCCAGTGTCGACTCGCGCCGAGCGCCGCCGTCTGGGAATGTCCAGGAATGGGTAATTCGCATACGGCGCCGGCGCGAATCGAAGCGCGACCAAGGGGGGAGGAGGAAAGGGGGTGGGGCTGGTCACGGGCGTTCTCGCAAACAATAATCAAGCGAACGCAAACATGGATCAAGGGGGCGTGGACTAGCGACGGGTCCCGTTTCCATTGGGGAATCGCGGATTCCGCCGCCGAGTGAGGCGGCACCGGCCGCAGTTTGGCGAGGGCACCTCCCCCGATCCGTGGATCTGGCGACCGCGCGCCACATCCCTGGATCGCTAACCCATGCTTGCGCGTCCCCGAGACAGCAGCACTCTCTCTTGCCTTCCCCCCTCGGCGCGCCGCGGAAGGATGAGAGGCAGTCGCAGCCGCCGGCGGCGCCGGCCGCGGAGCCGCGCGGCCGGGACCAGGAGAGGGAGGCCTTGTGCCGCGCCGCGGAGCCGCTGGGCCCCGCGGCCGTGCCGCAGGGTCCCGCGCTGGAGCCGCGGTCGGCCAAACGTCTAGTCCTCCTCTCGTGCCCTGGGGAGCGTCTTCCCTCCCCCTCCTCCTCCTCCTCCTCCTCCTCCTCCTCCTCCTCCTCCTCCTCCTCCTCCTCCTCCCTATCCTCCTCCTCCTCCTCCTCCTCCTCCTCCTCCTCCTCCTCCTCCTACTCCTCCTCCTCCTCCCTCCCCCCTCATGCTACGCTTGCCTCCTCCCTCCCCCCTCCTCCCTCCCCCTCATCCCTGCCCCCCCGCCCAGGCATGACGAACGACCGCATGGGTTTGGCTGCGATTCGAGCCAGTTCACTTTACTGCCCAGCTGGTACAGGCTGCCTGCCTTACTTGACTTGGGTGCCCCAGTAGGCTTGTTATCTCATTCGTATCCTGCGAGTTGCGTTTGCTGAGAGGCCCATTGCTTAATCAGCATCGAAACCCCAAGATCCTCTTCCCTCCTTCCTCAGAGCCTTCTCGCTCACAGGAGTGGTTCCTGTGCGCCGCTTCTTTTGTGTCTGGGTCGACGCTGGCGTAGCAAGCGAACCTTCAGGCGATTCCGCTGTGGGGAAAGAAGTTTCCCCAGAAGACTGAAATCCCAGATCTCCGACAATACGTTTTTTTTTCAATCCACACATTTCGGCCTCTGGGGCCTTTGATGGAAATGTTGGCGACAGGATGCCTGAAGGCCTAGATGCCCTCGGCCAGAGGCTGGCGTTGGGTTCAGACGAAAACCGCCCTGGAGCAGCCACGTGGCTGCTTCAGGGCGGAACCTGTGGCGAAAAGCGCAGGCAGGGCAGCTCGCAGCTGATGAGGAGACTGCGGCCACCGCACTTAGAGGCAGGCGTGGGGCCCGTTCTCAGGCCCTGGGGCCCTCAAGCATGGATCCAGGGCGAGAGGCTGGCCCCGAGGAGGCGGGGGCTTCTTGGGGCCGCGCACCGCGCATAGAACACCTTACATCACCGGGAGTCTGGGCATCTCGCCCCAGGATGCTCTTCAGCAGCTGCGCCTCGCCAAGAGCGTTCCAGGATCGATGATCCTCAGGACGTGTGTTAGCCCAGTGTGTGTGTGTGTGTGTGTGTGTGTGTTACCCCCTTCAGCCCAACCAGTAGATCATTACATCGCCTGCGTCGTATCGATGGGCCTCGATGGACAAACACACGTTGGGGCTAACACACGTTCTAAGGATCGTCGACAGGAGTGCTCTAGCTGTCCTGCACGGCTGTTGGCACCCTGATACGCCACACACATGGGGTCGGAGGATCGCGCCGCGACCCAGAGCCCGATCTTCTCCATCCCGACGCCGCAGATGCGTCGCCGATGCATGGGCGATGCGGTGCGATGCTCTGGCCTGTCTACTCCAGCCTCATTTGGGAGGTCTCCGAGACAGCTCTCCTCCTCCTCCTTCCTCCTTCCTCCTCCCCCTCCCCCTCCTCCTCCTCCTCCTCCTCCTCCTCCTTGCCTATGTGGGCGGGAGCGATGCTGCAGCAGCAGCACAGGCCACAGGTGCCTGAGAGTGCTAGCGCAGCTTTCGGCACTCTCTGTACCTCTCAGGGTAATCCCCAGGGCAATCCCCCCCCCAGCCTCCCCGAAGTGCGCAGCGCTGGCCGCGGCCTTGGCTCCCACTGCCCGCGCATTCGGGGGGGGACCTGCCCCGAGCCCTCCGCCCCCTCCGCTCGCGAGGGGCGGCCGGCGCCGAGCTCGCCGCCGAGGCACCTCGGCCAGCGCCGCCGGCAGCCGCCCGCGGCCGCGCCCGCGCCGCAGCAGGTGCGCCGCTGGCGGCGAGGCGGCGCCGCTGGTTGCGAGGCGCTGCCCCAGCTCCGCGCAGGTGCACTCGCGGCCGCCTCGGCGTCTGCGCCCGTTGCCGAGCGTCGCGCGCGCGCGCGGCTGCGCGGCAGGCGCTCGAGCGCGGACGTCTGCCGCCCGCTTTTGGCAGCCCCCGGCGCCAATGGGAGGAGCGCGCGTGGCGGCACACGGCCCTCGCGGTGTGGTCGCGACGCAGAGTGGTGTCCGCGATGTGGCGGGGACGGTCGTGATGTGCAAGATGTGGCGCGGACGCCCGGCCTGAGGTCAGGAGCGCCTCCTCACGTTCTGCCGCCGCGGGTGGCCCCGCACGTCTTGCGGGGCTCGGTCGGCGTGGCGTGCGCGCAGCGGCGGGGAACGGAGCCGGTGGTCGCCGCGCCTCGAGTGACTCGCGACAGGTGCGGCGACGGCGGAGGCAGGCACGCGGTGGCGCAAGTGGCCGATATGAACGCCACTCGCCTCTGCCAGAGCCAGCCGCCTCGCAGGCCCACGCAGGAGCCGCTCTCCGTGTGGCTGCGCTCCCGCTGTCCCCTCTCCGCGGCCGTCCTCGCCGGTCCCCTGCCTGTGTAGTGTTAACTTGCCATTCGCAACCCGACCCGGGCCTTCCCGCGCCGTGCTATCGCCAGCGCCGCGACAGAAGACGTGGCTGCGTCCCCCAAGCGTCCTGGACGTTCCAGCTCCGCGCCTTCGTGCAGGCGAGCCCTGCAGACGCTGTGGCAGAGGTGTTGGCCGCAAGCGCTGGCGCGTGGACGAGCGGCCCTGACAAGAGATCTCCAGCGACGTGAGACCCTGCCCCAGCCCATAACAGCTATCGACTACACGTCGGTCGTTGCAAGTAGGTATGTTTGGACTCCCAGGTCCCACTCTACTTTAGGCGCCTTCCTACTTCTGGTTTTACCTCTTCCCTCCTCTTCAGGGGGCGGGCGGAAACCCTATCTACTTCCACGCCTTCTTACCTTCAGTTTCTGCCCACTTTGTTCGACAGACGGGTAAACGCAAGAGTGACCCTTTGCCAGAGTGACCTCTGGTTCGGGCCCGCTGGGGTTCCCAGATCGCCGAGCGCGACGTCGTAGCAGCATCTTGCGCGCTTGTGCTTCCCCCCCCCCGCGGCCCCCGGGAGGCCGCGCACCGCAGGTCAGCTTTGCCGCTAGCACGTGCAGCAGTGGCCCTGGTCCGTTGGCCGCTGCCCCAGGCCGCCGGTCGCCTGCCGCCAGCCGGCTGCCTAGGGGGGGCCGCTGCAGGAGCGGAGTTCTGCCCCAGGTCTTTGTCGCCGCCCAGGGCGCTTGGCATGGCGCCGATGCTGTTTTGGTCAAGGTGCTGCAGGGGCGTCTTCTGGGCTTCCTGGGCACGGCAGGTTCGTGTCGTGTCGACGCGGCGGCAACCCAGCACGGCATCGCCGGTGCACCCTCGGTTTGGTCTGGTCCTCCTCCGCCTCCCTCCCTCCTCCCTTCTCTTCCTTCTCCTCCTTCTTCTTCTTCCTCTTCTTCCTCCTCGTCCTCCAAAGTAAGGATCCGTAGACAGGGGGATAACACATGGGGCAGTAATTCGGCGGTTGTATTCGTAGGGAGGTCATACAACGCAGTGCTACCCGAAAATGCTACAGCTCGTATGTGAAAACTGCGCCGCACAAAATGGATTGAACCAGTTCCATTCAGTCATGGTGGCCAGTAGAGAGCGATCTACGGCACAGTAGTGAGCATGCCTAGCTGTTTTTGCCGTTCAGGTTTAATATGCACTAGTGCGAGCTAAACCCCTTGTCGCCTACGCCATGGCCCGATTGGTCTCTCTGTCCAGTGCGGCGAGGGCGCTCTCCATTACGCATCCTCGGCCGGCTCTGCCCAGGAGGCCCCGCACCAGCTTTGGGCCCCGTCTATTACCGCCCCGTCTGCGTGGCCCTGGGCAAACGCAGGACCAGATCATCGTAATTTTCGACGCACTTGCCAACTCACGTGGCACTTGCCAGCTCACTTGCCAAAACATCCAGTCCCGTGACCACTATAATGGCACTCGGTAAGGGCATGACTATCATGTTTGTATGGTCCAGGTGACGCCCTTCACCAAGTGGGAGTGCGTTCCCTATAATACCACTCGACGGCTTCATATGGAGTGGGATAAGGCGGGGACGGGGTCGATGTTGTACGCTTGGCCCTAAAATGCTTCGCGTTCCCACGGAGGCGGCTACACTCCTGACGCATGCCTGCGCTGTAGCACGGCCTGTCAGGTGTCTCAGCCATCCGCCTGCTCTGTTGCTCATGCGCGTCCGGCACTCAGCTCAGCACGCGCCTTATGACGAGCTCGCAAGTGCAACGGACGCGTGGTGCTGATCAAGCAGCCTCTGCCTGTGACTCCGACATCACTTCTTCTGTGGCTTCATACCACGTAGTTGCATCTTGCACATGCACATGTCGCCCACCACCAATCGCCATATGTTGACTCAAGGCCCACATTCGCACTTGCATCGTATGCTTCCGCAACCGTTTTGCCCCAGGCCACTTTTCTCTCGCTCTCACGTGCAGCCAATCTTGCCAGGCCATGTCCTGCCACTGCTCCGATCCGCAATCGGTGACCCTGGCAGCACGACCAGCTGCAACCAACTAGACGGGTGGCTCACCCCGTTATGCCTGTTGTCTCCCATCCCTTGTTTTCTCGCTCTTCCCATCGATCTTGCTAACGACTTACATGCACTTCCCGCGGAGCCCACCATTGGCGCCGTGCTCACAGTAGCACGTGCCACTCCGCCCAGGCGCTAGTTTCTTTCGGGAGAACACGCGTCGCCCCAGGGTGCTTTCACTCCTTCCGCTCTGCCCTCCTCCTTCCTCCGTCTGCAAACTTGAGAACGTCAACGCTGCCAGCCATCGCCCGCCAGCGCTTCCCTCCGTCCTCCCTCCTCCCAGCTCCTGCTCCCGCGTCCCCCGTTTCCCCCCAACCATCCTATGGTGTTGGGTCCTCGTTTTGAAAAGACAGCGCCCCGCGTCACTCCTTCCTGCCTTCCTCCTGCCCCCTCCCTTCCCGTCCTCCCATCCCTGCCTCTGCCCCCCGCGCCAGTCAACCATATGGGCACACTCCTCACACGACTCGTGGCCCCATAAAGAGCTCCACCGAGGGCCCCAGTGGCTGCGCTCGCATGGGCACCACTGTACCATTTCGGCACCACCCTCACACGTTTCGTGACCCCATAGGGAGCTCCACCGAGGGCCCCAGTGGCTGCGCTCGCATGGCACCACCGCCCCGATTTCGGCACACCCCTCACACGCTTCGTGGCCCCATAGGGAGCTCCACCGAGGGCGCCAGTGGCTGCGCGCGAATGGCACGACCGCGCCCATGTCGGCCCACTCCTCACACGACTCGTGGCCCCATAGGGAGCTCCACCGAGGGCCCCAGTGGCTGCGCTCGAATGGCACCACCGCGCCGATTTCGACACACCCCTCACACGCTTCGTGGCCCCATAGGGAGCTCCACTGAGGGTTCCAGTTATTGCGCTCGCATGACCCGTCACACGTTTCGTGGCCCCATCGGGAGCTCCACCGAGGGCCCCAGTGGCTGCGCTCGAATGGCACCACCGCGCCGATTTCGGCACACCCCTCACACGATTGGTGGCTCCATGGGGAGCTCCACCAAATACCCTGGTGGCTGCGCTCGAGTGGCACCACCGCGCCCGTTTCTCCGTATCGTAGCCCCATACGGAGTTCCACCGAGGGCCCCAGTGGCTGCGTTCGCACGGCGATCCCGCACCCATGTCGGCACACCCCCCACACGCGTTCGCATGCGCCCACCGCGCTCATCTGGGTGCATCCCTCACACGTTAGGTGGCCCCATATGGAGTTCCACCAAATACGAAACTCACACTTGCGTTATCCTCACTTGCATTTGGTTGAGTCATTCGCCAGTTTTTTTTGCTTCTATCTCTCTCTCTCTCACTCTCTCTCCTCGCTCTGTCAGCCCTCCCTCCCCCCCTCCTGCAGGAGTGCCTGGTGGCCGCCCTGGAGATGCTCGACGACGCGGAGGTTGCCGACGTCGATGGCCTTTCTGCCCTGGTCGGACCGACAATGATGGACGTATTCCACGAGCTGGGCGACTGGGAGCCGGCCGAGGAGCACCTCTCCTCCGCCCCCCCTGGAGGGGCGCAGGGCGGCGCACGACGAGGCTCGTCGTCGACGTGGGCATCCGCCCCGGGACGGCCGGGCGGCACACGGCTCCACGCCCTGACGCTGGGGAGTGGAGCTGCTGGTCGCCCTCTGCTCGTCCACCCCGCTGCCTCCTCCCGCCCTGCCCAGAAAGGGGAGTTTCCATCCGCCCTATGGCGGGCGCTGCAAGCGAGCGGATCGCCTCAATGAGTCGACGAGTGCCCCTCTGCGCCCCTCGAGAGGGGTACAGGCGTCGTCGAAGAGGGGCTCGACGAGGGGAAGTAGGAGGAGAAGGGAGACGAGGAGGACCAATGCAAGCCCCGGACGCATCAACGATGTTGCAGTAAACCCTCCCTCCAAGCTCACTCTTCATAGTCCCCTTTTCTTCAAAGACAACTGTCTGGGGGTCCTCAGCCATGCCGAAACACCAGTCCTGGGATTTCGACATCGCGAATCCACGCGACAGCTGCGTCCTGACAATCCGAGCTCGTGCCAGAAGACCATTCCTTGGACGACAGCTCAGCGGATCAACGTGACTGCGTCCTGACATTCCTTAATATTGTTGGAATTCCTGCGACTTTAGCCCCGCGAATCCTTTAACTTTCTGCAAACTTTGAAACGGATGTGCGCGGCGCTGAAGCGAGAGCCACGTGTCGAACACGGTCCGCCCTCAATCCGCGAAGTTGTTGCGAAGTTTTGAGACGAAAATGTGTGGCGCTAAGGCGAGATCCACAATTGAAAACGAGCCGCCCTCCATCGCTCCATGCACATAAGAGGTGAGGACATCCCGGGCGAAACGCCCAGCCCCGCCCTGCCGACACGCCTGGGGGTGCGCTTATAGAGAAGAGGGATGGAGGAGGAGGAGGAGGAGGAGGAGGAGGAGGAGGAGGAGGAGGAGGAGGAGGAGGAGGAGAAGGAGGAGGAGGAGGAGGAGGAAGAGAGGACCGTGGCCATGTTGGCTCAAGCAATTTCGGTTCAAGTAAATCGTCTTCACACGGTGGTTGGGTCAACCCACGGCCTTTGGCCATGGCTTGTCTTGCTCGATTCAACCTTCTTGAAGTAACGTTCAATCGTTTTTGGGGGTGTTCCTTTTCGCACTCGCTGTTGCACCTGCGTTTCCCTTGCCCTTGCGCGCGTGAGAGTCGCGCAGACCCAACGAATCTGCAAAGACGGCGCGATGGCAGGCAAAGGACAGGGCCTCGAGCGGATGGATGGCAAGAGTAACTCGTCCCGACAAACCCCGCCAGAAGGTTCCTCGAGGGCCACGTGCAGCAGAAATGCCAGACGATGATCTTGGAGGGCCAGCTATTTTTCCACGGCAAGCGCAATCCGTGTGCGAGCTTCGGAGGGAAAGGGACAATACCAAGAAGCAGCTGCTTGACGCCATCAAAGGTTTCAACGGCCAGATCGGTACGCTGGGCTTCGCCGTGGTTGAGGCGCGTTCAACTCGCGGCATGCACTTCGAGGGGCGCATGGGCTATGTGGAGAACCGCAATGTCGATAAACATGCCGCCAGCCTGGAAGAGCGAACTTGTAAGTTCGAGAAGATCATTAGACACATATGTGGCTTCCGAGCAGCTCAAGATCAATATCGGCACCGGCCTCATTAGACAACCGCGGAGTGCGGACTTGAGCTGCACCCGGACAAAACCAACATTCTCACAAACATGGAACAGGAGACGCGGGCAAACAACGAGTCACGCCGACATCGACGGCGACGCGGTCGCAATCTTCAAAGCCGAAGAGACCACCAAGTATGCGGGCTGGAAGCTGACGCTTCACGACTACCACCCAGCCGAGCTTTCCATCATAATTGCCATGGCATGGGGCACGTTCAGCAAACTCCGAGACGAATTGACAAGCAGCCGATATCCCCTTCGTAGCAGGCTCAGGCTGTTCAACTGTACGGTGACAACATCTGTCATGTACGGCTGCACCTCGTGGATGCTTACCACGGACATGTTCCTAGTATGGAGACGAACCCAGCGACGCATGTTACGTTTCACAGTGAATGCACCCAGGCGACGAGCCAACAAACAGAGTACACCAACCGACGGCACGACCAGATCTGACCCAGAGCAGGCCGACGACGGACTACAAAACAGCTCCAACGACATCCGGCGGAAACTCAACTTCGACGACGCCGACGAAGACTCCGACCACCAGCCTTGGGGCGAATGTATTCGCAGAGCGACTTATGCAGCTACGGAGCGGGCAACGCGCTCTCAAGTAGAGGACAGGACGATGTAGTACCACAAGCGGAAACGGCGATGGGCAGGACGCGAAGCAACACAATCCCGACAGAGGTGGACCCGACTCGCTGCACCCTGGAACCCCGACGCCCACGACCTGCGTCTAGCTCGCCGCAGATGAGTGCCGCATCATCGCCAAAGACCCGCTCACTTCGATCTCCAGTTCGAGGGGGGTGCGGCGCTGGTCAGCAGGCGTGCGTCACAGGCAGTGGCGGTTCTCAGGCGGAGCCCCGCTGACTTGCTCAGGCTTCAAGCAGTGGATGCTGACGGCTGACATGAGGAGCTGCACGCTGGACCAGATATGTCGGCGGCGCAAATTCGTGCGGAGATCGCACCCGAGGCAGTGGAAAAGGCGTTCATCCAGAATTTCAACCCGTAGGTCGAGCTGCTCATCAGTAAAAACCGCGGTGATGTTATTCGCATCAGTGGGGGCACTCTACCGCGTTCAGCATTCTCAAGATAACCCACCAACAGCGGAGTATGTGACAACTCGGCAGAATTCAATTTCGACCGTGCCGAGATTGAGCAGGCCATCGCCCTTGCCCTCATCTTGCGTGCGACAGCCAGTGCATCATGGAACCCTCAGCGCAAAGATATGGGCTGGGCAAATGCGTCCTCTTCTAGGTCGCCGAGCAGTTCGGCGCCCCCCGGTTCGGCTTCCTCCTCTTCTCCTTCCGCGTTGAACCCATTTGTTCCGGTGCATGTTTTACCAGTCTGACGGAGTGCGAGGGCGTTTTCCCATGAGGTTCCGTGCGCCAACACGTGGGTGCATCCTCCTCGGCCTTCCGACGTCTGATGCCATTTGGGCTCGGGCTCTCGGCAGTTTCAGAGGAAAGGTCGGGCGCGCCCTCGACGCCGCGTTGCGGCGGGTCAGTGAGAAAGACTTCGTTTGCGCCTGCAATGTCGGACCCCAGGTCGCCCCCGCGGGCGCGCAGAATGAGAGCGAGCGGCGTTGGCGAGCGCGAGCGGTAGCGGAGCTCCATGCGACCCTTCGGGGCGGGAGCCTGGCCGACGCCCTGGCAAGTCATCCACCTTGTCGCCCGCAGGGAAAGGCGATGGCGATTGGTGCAAGGTTCGCGAGGGGTACGTGGGCCCGAGAATACATCCCGGGAAGAAAGTGTCTTCTCTGGTCCAGGGTCCTGACTGCATCATCCGGTTCCTGGGCGGCCACGTCATCGCCCATTGCCGCTTCGCGTGCCCCAACTGATCCTTAAAACTCTGCGGGATTGTAGATCATAGGGCCTTATGTCAGAGAGGGATACTTAGCAAGAAGGCGTTGCCGGGGAATCATCGATCTATTCACTGCGAGTCGTTCACCCATCCGTGGACCCATCCATCCAGCAGGCGATGAGTACACCCATCCATTCAGTATGCACCGCCGTCAGAATCCGTCCATCCATCCATTCATCCACCGACCTACCCATCCACCCATCCACCCATCCATCCATACATCCATCCTGTCGCTGTCCAGGATCAATATGCCATTGCAATTTGGGCTGCAATCGCCATCCGAGAGTAGCCTCTCGGTCTCCTCTCGGCTTTCTCGCCGAGAGTGGCCTCGGCCTCCTTGGAAACCAAGCACGTGGGCGCCTGGGCACCCTGGCGGCGCGCGGGTGCTTGCGATGCCGCCTGCGCAGCCCCCGCCAGACCCAGCGGTCTGAGCCCCCCGCCCAGCAGTCCAAGGTTGCCTTCGGCGCGAACGCGAAGGTCACCACAAGGTCCATTCCGATCCACCAGCTGCCCCAGCTTCATTTGGCGGAGGCCGCCGCGTTTCGAAAGGAGGAGGAGGCGGGAGTAGGAGGAACAGAAGGAGGAGGCGGGAGGAGGAGGAGGAGGAGAAGGAGGAGGAGGAGGACCAGTGTATATCCAAGACGCATCGATGATGTTGGATTAAGCCGTTCTTTCAAACTTCTTCTTCATAGGCCCCATGCGAGGATTCATTTCCACTGAGGGAAGTGCCCCGTTGGAGGGCCACTGTGTGAAAATCTTGAAGCGTGCCAAAGCACTATACGCAGGGCCTCAACGCCGTGGGTCAACATGGCTGTTGCGTCTTGACGATCCGGAATCGTGCCAGAGCACCAGTCCTGAAGGGGAGAGCCGCATTTTGAAAACGACACGCCTTCGATCAGTGAATCTCTTCCACTTTTTTGGTACAGGCTAAATTCGTCGGCGGGCGTCACTGACAATACTTTCGTTGCGTGGTAAGTCTTTCGGCGACGACGACGACGACAGCGTCGACGACGCGACGACGACGGTGACCCCCAGGACAGTGCGAGGTTGCGGGCGTTCTGCGAACGCCTCTCCGAGGGCCTGCTGCTCGCGCGCGCGGGCGCGGCCGTCGAAAACATGCGAGGGGTGTGACGCGAGAAAGTCGGGCGCGCCGCATCGGGGGGGCAGTGAACGTATGGGGGGGTCGAGGAGTGCAGCAGAGCGGCCCTGACGGGGCCTCGGGTGACCCCGAAGCTGCCACCGCGTGCCCCAGAAGGGCTGCACGAGAGGTGCACGTTTCCTCACACCCGTTGGTTGGTTGGTTGGTTGGTTCCGCCCCCTTTTTAAGGAGCTCCCGAGATCGGCCCCAAGTTGCCCAATCATCACATATCGGGGCCTGGGTACTCCCACCCCGCCTGAGAGCGTTCGGTTTCGCATTCGGGGGCCTATCGCTAATAAGCTGGCGATGTATCGCCGGTTCCAGGTCATCGTCTCCCTTCTGAGGCAGTCTCAACAGAACAGATGAAGCGCCTCCACCTCTTTCTCTTCCTCCTCGTCCTCCTCCCCCTCCTCCTCCTCCTCATCATCATCCTCCTCGTCTTCGTCGTTTTGTCGCGCACTTCCCTTCGAGAAGTTGGGTCCGTGGTGTCCACGGCAGTGCAACGCAAGAGTTAAAGGGGTCGGAGCAAGGCAGCGACAAGGCAGGCATCGAGCGGAAGCGGCGATAAATCGACGTGCGCATGCTTATTTGGCGGCATCATTCCACAGTGCTCCCCAAGTGTGCCCCTTGTCGTCTTCGTCTTTGTCTTCTTCTGCTTCTAATTATTATCATTACTATCATTGTTATTACCATCATTAGTGCTATTACTTTTTCATTACTATTGCATTGTTATTTGTTGCTAGTATCATTATTGCCATCATCATCATTATTATTATTGTTATTAGTATTAGTCTTAGTATTACTATTAACATCATGCTTATTATTGTTGGTGTTGAAATTATTCTTATTATTGTTATTGTTATTATTAATCTTATTAATATTATTATTATTATTATTAATTACTACTAGCAGTATTATTATCATTATTCGGAGGTGAGGGGGTGAGATCGAAGTGGAACGGAGAGCCCCCCCACCGGGAAATCGATTTCGGTTTCGTGTTCGTGCGTGCCGTGCGGGCGAGGCGAAGCTGCGTGGGCGGGCGAGAGAAAGTCTCCTGTGGCTGAGGCGCGGCCGGACCAAATGTCTCCCTTCCGGGCGGCCGGGGGCCCGCGGTGTCCCGCCGGTGTCCCGCTGGTGTCCCGTGTGGCTGAGGCGCGGCCGGACCAAATGACTCCCTTCCGGGCGGCCGGGGGCCCGCGGTGTCCCGCCGGTGTCCCGTCGGTGCCCCGTCGGTGTCCCGATAATGATGATGTTGATGATGATCATGATGGTTGTGTTGATGGTGATGATGATGACGATGATGGTGTCCTGGTGATGATGATGATGATGATGATGATGATGATGATGATGATGATGATGATGAGATGACGATGATGTTGATGTTCTGCCCGTTGTTGTTGATGATGATGTTGGTAATGCTGATGCTGCTGATGATGATTATGGTATCCCGATGATGATGATTATGACGGTGGTGATGATGATGGTGATGGTGATGGTGTACCGATGATGATATTGATGATGATGTTGGTGATGATGATGCTGCTGATGATGATGGTGTCCCGATGATGTTGATGATGCTGTCGATGATGATGATAATGAGCTGATGATGATGATGATGGTGTCCCGATGTTGCTGATGATGTTGACGATGACAACGATGGTGACCATAATGGTGTCCCGATGATGATGATGATGATGATGCTGATGGTGATGATGACGATGGCTGTGTCCCGCTGGTGATGTTGATGATGTTGTTGATGATGATGATGAGATGACGATGATGTTGATGTTTCTGCCCGTTGTTGTTGATGATGATGTTGGTAATGATGATGCTGCTGATGATGATTATGGTATCCCGATGATGATGATTATGACGGTGGTGATGATGATGTTGATGGTGATGGTGTACCGATGATGATTTTGATGATGATGTTGGTGACGATGATGCTGCTGATGATGATGGTGTCCCGATGATGTTGATGATGCTGTTGATTATGATGATGATAATGAGCTGATGATGATGGTGTCCCGATGTTGTTGATGATGTTGACGATGACAATGATGGTGACCATGATGGTGTCCCGATGATGATGATGCTGATGGTGATGATGACGAAGGCTGTGTGCCGATGATGATGATGATGATGATGATGATGATGATGTCGCTGACTATGATGAGATGATGATGGAGATGATGATGATGGCCTGACGATGATGGCGTTGATGATGATGACGATGATGATGATGACGACAGTGTCCCGATGACGATGAAAATGATGGTGTTGGTGATGATGATGATGATGACGTTGAATGTGAGATCGATTGTGAGATCGGTAGTGAGATCGATAGTGAGACCGAATGTGAGATCGATTGTGAGATCGATAATCAGATCAATTGTGAGACCGAGCGAATGAGATATATCGAGCGAGATCGATTGTGAGATCGATCGAGTGAGATCGATCGAGCGAGACCGATAGTGAGATGGATAGTGAGACCGATCGAGTGAGACGCTGCATCCTCCCCCCCCCGAACCTCCTTATCACCCGAAGGGTGGTCGTATAGGTATTATGATCATCATCATTATCATTATTAGTATTATGTATCATTTTTAAATAATTTTGTAGCATTTTTTTTATTATTCATTTATTATTCGTATCATTCCTACTACTATTATTATTGCGAAGGCCTTACGGCCGGTGCCGCCGACCCTGCAGACGGAGACGACGAGCAGGACAAGGACGTTGAGGAACAGGAGGGAGGGAGGAGGAGGAGGAGGAGGAGGAGGAGGAGGAGGAGGAGAGGAGGATGAGGCAGGAGGAGGAGGAGGAGGAGAGAGGAGGAGGAGGAGGAGGAGGAGAGAGGAGGAGGAGGGAGGAGGAGGAGAGGAGAGGAGGAGGAGGAGCGGAGCCGAGCAGGGCCGCATGGTCCAGGAGTCCTGGGGTCTTGGGGCCTGGGGCCTGGTAGTCCTGGACTTTTTGGGGGGCTGGTTCCTGGTGCTGGGTCCTGGGAGGAGGTCCTCGGGGCTGGGTCCTGGAGGGTCCATGGGACCTCGGAATTCTGGGTCCTGGGGTGTCTCGTGGCCGAGCGTCCAGGAGGCCGGTTCGCTTCTTGAGGGGACGGAGGAAAGAGGAGAGATGAGGATGGAGGGAGGAGTGGAGAGGGAGGAGAGGGCGTGGTAGAATGCCTCGGCTCTTGGCCCGTCTGAGGCTTTGTGTGGGCTCCGGGACCCCTAGGGGGGGAGTCGTATCTGACGCGGGACCCTCCCCGGGACCGCCCCTCCGGCAGGGAAGGGATCAAAGGAAAGGGGATTCCCTTTGACTCAATGACAACGTTGCTCTTGAGGGGGAGGCCCTGGAAAAGCGGGGGGTGGGGGGAGCGGCGACGGGCCCAGGGAACAGGGGGAAAGGGGAGAAGGTGAGACGGGCCCAGGGAAAGGGGGAGCGCAGGGACAGGAGACGACTGGCCCAGGGAAAGGGTGGGCGCAGGGACAGGAGATGACGGAGACACCGACGAACGAACGAAGGGAACGGACAAGCCCCTCACACACGCCGACACAGGGTCGGCGGATTTTTCGTCTTCTTTCTCCTCCTCCTCCTCCTTCTCATCCTCCTCCACCTCCTCTTCCGCCTCGTCGTCTTATTCCTCCCTCCTGGGGGGCCACGGCCTCGTCCGTCTGGTCTGAGCTGGGCACGACGTTTGTCCGCAGCGGTGCTCGCTCGTTTCTTCTCCTTTTCCCCCTCTTTTTCTTTTTCCGTCTCCTCCTCCTCCTCCTCCTCCTTTCCACCCTCCTGCCCGCGCGGAGGGGGGGGGGGAGATTGCCGCATCAACCCGTGGCCGGCCAGTGCTGTCTTGGACATGGAGATTGTTGAGTATTGGGTGTTCTCTTGGACATGGAGTCTGATGAATACGGAGTGCTGTCTTGGAGACGCAGGTTGTTTGGATAGCGGGTGCTCTCTTTGGGACGGAGTCAGTTGAGTAGTGGGTGCTCCTTTGGAAACAGAGGACCTCTAGTGGGTGCTCTCTCGCAGCGGGGTCTGTTGAGTACTGGGTGCCTTCTTGGACACGGAGTCTGTTGAGTACGCACAGAGTCTGTTGAGTATTGGGTGTTCTCTTGGACACGGAGTCTGATGAATACCGGGTGCTGTCTTGAAGACGGAGGTTGTTTGAGTAGCGGGTGCTCTCTTTGAGATGGAGTCAGTTGAGTAGTGGGTGCTCTCTAGGAGACAGAGGCGGGCGGTCGGGCGGGCGGGCGGGCGGTGGGCGGGCGGGTCGGGTTTTTAAGTCGACCTCTAGTGGGTGCTCTCTGGCAGCGGGGTCTGTTGAGTACTGGGTGCCTGCTTGGACACTGGGCTTGTTGAGTATAGAATGCTGTCTTGGAGACGGAGGCTGTTGAATATTGGGTGCTGCTTTGGAGACGGGAGCTGTTGAATAGTGGCTGCTCTCTTGGAGACGAAGTCTGTTGAGTAATGGGTGCTCTCTTGTAGACAGATGCGGGCGGTCGGGCGGGGTGCGTGCGGGCGGGTCGGGTTTTTAAGTAGACCTCTAGTGAGTGCTCTCTGGCAGCGGGGTCCTTTGAGTACCGGGTGTGGACACGAAGTCTGTTGAGTACTGAGTGATGTCGTGGACCTGGAGCTTGTTGAGAACTGGGTGTTCTCTTGGACACGGAGTCTGATGAATACGAAGTGCTGTCTTGGAGACGGAGGTTGTTTGAGTAGCGGGTGCTGTCTTTGGGACGGAGTCAGTTGAGTAGCGGGTGTTTTTTTGGAGACACAGGCGGGCGGTCGGGCGGGGAGCGGGCGGGCGGGTCGTTTGTTTTTCTCCGTTTATATATATATATATATGTAGCAATACAGATGTACATACACACATACATACATATATATATATATGTATATGTATATACATATATACATATATATACACATATAGATGTAACAAGCAACCTCTAGTGGGTGCTCTTTGGCAGCGGGGTCTGTTGAGTACTGCGTGTCTTCTTGGACACG